TCTACAACAAAAGGGACTTGTCAGGGCTCTGGGGAATAATCTTAATTAAGTCAGTGTTTCATTGTGAAGCAATCATCCGTCATCGCTTTGTAAGTATAATACAAAATGATCTTAAATTGAGAAAGAAGTTGAATGTTCATTAATCACCACGCCCTGCTTTTGTACTATTACTATTAGTAATAGTACCACGCTTCATATTGCAGCAGTTCGAACATATGACTTTATTAGAATCGAAAGCGTATTAGTTAGATCGTAGCTCGGATGACAGCTTTGCGCAGTGTGCATTTACAAATATTTTTGTCCATCACTTTTCATATCCTCCCCGATTATAAAATTGACGAAGACAGTCACAGATCGTTTCTCTTGCGATAGTGTAAACGCGACAACTAGCGCTGGATGGCGACAACTAGCGCAAACTGTCGGGTGCGACAATGTCGCATAGCCAGCGTTAACCAGCGCTAGTTGTCGACAACTAGCGCTGGATAGCGACAACTAGCGCTGGATGGCGACAACTAGCGCTGGATTGCGACAATTATCGAAAATTTATATTTTGCGCTGGATATCTTTTACCAGCGCTGGATAGCGCTAGTTTTCGCCATCCAGCGCTAGTTCAACTAGCGCAGGTCAAACTGGTTAGACCTGCGTTAGGTCTAACCAGTTAGTCCTATCCAGTTAGGCCTAACTAGTTAGGCCTAACGCAGAGTTAGGCCTAAATTAGACCTATATTAGGCGCTATAGGCCTAACTGCATCTTGGTGACAGTTACTGTTAGGCCTAACGCCTAATTTAAGCCGAATTTAGGCCTAACTCTGCGTTAGGTCTAACTGGTTAGACCTAACTGTATCTTGGTCACAGTAACTTGGCTGCCACTCATGGGTGCGAAATCCTCACGTCGCTCATGAGGAAGGCTTAAAGTCTAAACAGGACTACCTCATCGGCCATGACAGGCAGTGTTGAGACCTACCTTACAAGACATATTTATGGCGGTCTAATTTGCGACGACCGAAATTTTGGCGGTCCGAAAATATGGCGAAATTGAACAAAAACCGTCATATTTCGGACGTCACAGAAAATAAGGGTATTTTTCATCATTTTTTGTGACAGTAAGCAGTAAGGAAATTTCTGAAATTCGGTAAAATCATGTTCAAACTTAGTCTGTATTAAGACTGTAAGACTTTCATGTTAGCACATACATGTATTTTAATGCAAATTTAAACTGTATTGCTTGACATTCAATTCGTCATTGGTGTGGTGATAATTTGTCCCAAGATGCCAGAATTTATTTATTTATTTTACTTGATATTACTTTTTAGAAACAAAATAAAGCAGTGAAGGCACAGTCATTGAAATAAGCTAAAAGATAATGCGACGGATTCTATTACGACGACCGAAATTTTGGCGGTCCGAAAATATGGCGAAATTTTCGGAAAACCGCCACATTTCGTACGTTATAAATATGTCTTGTAAGGTACCTTCCTTGAACTAAACAGTGCTGGCAAAGCTTCAAATTACAATCATGATTTGTTAATTGTTGCCCAGTTTTGTTTGAGAAGCTCAATTGATACTCGCGGTAGATTACTGGCGTCCGGTAGTATTGTTTATACTTGTAGATTTAATGGCACCCGCTATTGGCACATGCTATTGTTTGGCACCCGCCATTGTTTATACTTGCCCCTGTTAAATAACTGCAGACCAGAGGAGACTTGAGGAATCTAGGGACAGCAGTCTTCACCCCAAATGTCTTCGGCCCAAACAATGAGCTGACTTAAATTCCTGAGATACCAATTACAGTGGAACTATAAAAACAATAGACACTGATCTACAGATGTTTTGACATCTTTTACTGCTTAACGAATGCCTTTCTTGCTCATTGTATGAAAAATTAATTTAAAAATTATCTGCTAAAATTTTAAAAACGCAAAAAAAAAGATTTGGATTTTTGACGGTTTTGAATGCCTTCGAGCGTTCATTTTAATGTCCGTTCATAATTATGTCCGTTCATTTAATGCCCGGTCAAATAAGGTCCGATAAGGCATGACTTTAATAGAATCGAAAGCTTATTAGTTAGATCGTAGCTCGGATGACAGCTGTGCGCAGTGTGTATTTACAATTAATACTTTTGTCCATCACTTTTCATATCCTCACCGATTATAAAATTGACGAGGACAGATCAGTTCTTTCTTTTGCGATAGTGTAAACGCGACAACTAGCGCTGGATGGCGACAACTAGCGCAAACTGTCGGGTGCGACAATGTCGCATAGCCAGCGTTAACCAGCGCTAGTTGTCGACAACTAGCGCTGGATAGCGACAACTAGCGCTGGATGGCGACAACTAGCGCTGGATTGCGACAATTATCGAAAATTTATATTTTGCGCTGGATATCTTTTACCAGCGCTGGATAGCGACAACTTGCGCTGGATGGCGACAACTAGCGCTGGATAGCGCTAGTTGTCGCCATCCAGCGCTAATATCGATACATAATATGATTAAGTTTAATTAATAACAATAGATTTTGCAGTTTGCAGTTTGCACCCAGTACTAAGGCGTAAAATCATATGCATAACTCTTTTACAAATTGTGACTGTAAATTGTAAAAGTAGTGAGGGAATTGGGTTACACTTACAGTGTATTGTGCATGGTATAAGCGATTACACTACGTCAAACACCCCCTTCTTTCCCTAGACAGGGTAGCTTGGGTAAATAAGTTTAAACCCAATCAGTCTATCTAATTAACTTTGAAACGATGCAACTGAACCCAATCGGAACTAGAAATAACAAACAGATAAACAGGTTTCCAAATACCGCTCTAGTTTAGCTGCTGCCTGGTTTATCCGGTTATTGAGTAGCTATTATTATGGCTTTAGTTATAGTTTATCAGAACCGTGCTTGCCACTCCTCTATTGCTTTTCATTTTAATATTACTATCGCAATATTATGAATTATGATACAATCATAAACTTAGTGATTAGTGAATTTGGATTTCCGATTCTTCATTCCCGTTCCTCAAACTGAAACAGAATTGACCATAATGATATCAAATAGCATTAGCAATACTAATAGTATACCTTATCGGACATTTAATTTGAACGGACATTAATGGAGATTGGAGGCGCTAGCGCATAGCGGTCTTTTTAATGTCCGTCTAAATTATTTCCGTTCACGCAATGTCTGGTCAAATAACGTCCAATAACCTTGTCCCCCTGTATTATAAGAAGTATTAAATCGGTGCATCAGATTGCAAATGCAAATCTAGGACATCCCTGTGATTTTTGTGATGTACTAACACAATAAACATTTGGCGTCCTACTCTGTGCTCTGTGCTCAGGCGGCTGTGAAAGAGCTGGTGACCTAGTGAAAGTGCTGGTGACGATGAGAAAGACCATAAACCAGGGATTCCTTCGGGAGCATGTAAGATTATATCCAAAGTTTGTTCGCCAATGGGGTGTGTCTGGGTGTCAAAGATCTTCAAGGTGGGTGCTACTTGTGATGAACTCTAGAAGGATGGGATGGTAATACTCGGTCTGGCCGTCTGGAAGCCCATAGAATTCCAGTTCAGAAACCGAGTAAGGAGGTGCGGCTACTGATGAGAAGCCTCCTTAAAGTTTATTTGGGTTAGAAACGACATCTGGGTCCCTACCCTCGCACAAGATTATTCTCAATTTTCTTGTTGTGTCCACAACTATACCGTTGATCAGAGTCACATCTGATGACTTCAGTGAAAGGGCTGATGACTTCAGTGAAAGAGCTGGTGACCTAGTGAAAGTGCTGGTGACGATGAGAAAGACCATAAACCAGGGATTCCTTCGGGAGCATGTAAGATTATATCCAAAGTTTGTTCGCCAATGGGGTGTGTCTGGGTGTCAAAGATCTTCAAGGTGGGTGCTACTTGTGATGAACTCTAGAAGGATGGGATGGTAATACTCGGTCTGGCCGTCTGGAAGCCCATAGAATTCCAGTTCAGAAACCGAGTAAGGAGGTGCGGCTACTGATGAGAAGCCTCCTTAAAGTTTATTTGGGTTAGAAACGACATCTGGGTCCCTACCCTCGCACAAGATTATTCTCAATTTTCTTGTTGTGTCCACAACTATACCGTTGATCAGAGTCACATCTGATGACTTCAGTGAAAGGGCTGATGACTTCAGTGAAAGAGCTGGTGACCTAGTGAAAGTGCTGGTGACGATGAGAAAGACCATAAACCAGGGATTCCTTCGGGAGCATGTAAGATTATATCCAAAGTTTGTTCGCCAATGGGGTGTGTCTGGGTGTCAAAGATCTTCAAGGTGGGTGCTACTTGTGATGAACTCTAGAAGGATGGGATGGTAATACTCGGTCTGGCCGTCTGGAAGCCCATAGAATTCCAGTTCAGAAACCGAGTAAGGAGGTGCGGCTACTGATGAGAAGCCTCCTTAAAGTTTATTTGGGTTAGAAACGACATCTGGGTCCCTACCCTCGCACAAGATTATTCTCAATTTTCTTGTTGTGTCCACAACTATCGCAATATTATGAATTATGATACAATCATAAACTTAGTGATTAGTGAATTTGGATTTCCGATTCTTCATTCCCGTTCCTCAAACTGAAACAGAATTGACCATAATGATATCAAATAGCATTAGCAATACTAATAGTATACCTTATCGGACATTTAATTTGAACGGACATTAATGGAGATTGGAGGCGCTAGCGCATAGCGGTCTTTTTAATGTCCGTCTAAATTATTTCCGTTCACGCAATGTCTGGTCAAATAACGTCCAATAACCTTGTCCCCCTGTATTATAAGAAGTATTAAATCGGTACATCAGATTGCAAATGCAAATCTAGGACGTCCCTGTGATTTTTGTGATGTACTAACACAATAAACATTTGGCGTCCTACTCTGTGCTCTGTGCTCAGGCGGCTAAGCCTCATTTTAGTGAACACAATTGAAATATTTTCTATATTCGCCATTTGAGTTACTTTTATTCTAATTAAAATTTCTCACCAGCATGATTTAGTACATACACAGAACCACTGCGTAAATACCTTATACTATACCTTACCTATTATTATCTCTTCTTGTTATTATTTCTACCTATTATTATCTCTTCTTGTTTCACTTGCAGAGGGCATACTATTTAATAAATATTTATCGCTAATTCTTTCCTTTTGAGTTGTGAGTGTTGCAACTACACCGTCAATTTGTACTTCATGTAGACACTAATTGACATCTCGATGTACAATGATTGAATCAATTATGTAACAAGTAAACCGCTGGTTTTGCCGCCTAGATTTTTAGGAATCTTCAATTTGATTAATCTTTATCCTCGACCTAAATTGACATCTAAAACCCTCGAGTTTCTATTTGTAGGGCACGAAAGTAAGTCACCTTTATCGGCCGCAATGACTTACCACACTTGGATTTTACCGACTCTAGACGTGGAGGAAAACTTTGAGGTTTGTAAAACGATTTTCAAGAATTGAAAACTGTCTATTTGTAAAACTTTGATTGAGAAATACACTAAATAGAAATACCTATGCCCTTAGGGGTTGTTCACATATTACGTAATCAATCCCCCCCCCCCCTCCGTAATCAGTTTTACACATAGCTATTGTGTCAAAATTACACTAGCGTAATCATTTGGAAACCCCCCCCCCCCCCCCCCCCCCTTGGCTGATTACATAATATGTGAACGACCCCTTAATACCAAATATAACATTTGCATTTTAAACTTATTTTCAAGGTTACACTAATAAGTTAAAATGTTTTGTAAATTCCCACTTCTCTTCAGGTACAGGATGTTATAGAACCAATGAAGGAGAGGTGGCTGTACACAATACCAGTCTCTCTGGTCTACTTCACTGCAGTGCACCTAGGACAGAAATACATGGAAACAAAGACGCCCTGGAACCTTAGGATGCCTTTAGTTATTTGGTCGGGCTTGTTGGCTCTCTTTTCTTGGATAGGTTCGTCATTAATATGGTGCATTCCTCTAGATCTGATGAGTGCTCAAATTTTACTTATAATTATTCGACGGCCTGGTAGCGCAGTTGGTTAGAACGCCTGCTTTACAATCGTGAGGTTGCGAGTTCGAATCCCACTGTCTGCCTGGTCGTGGGGTGAGCGTCGTTGACGTTCAGCTAAGGATCCTGAGTGGTCTATGCAGCCCCCCGGTCTACTCAGCCGAATACTCGAGAAATCGGGTGTGAGGGTTAAATGAGGAGCTGCACATTTGACATTGCAGCAAAGTCTCGGGCGAAGAAAGTATGGTACATACTACCTAACCCATATTCTTCCACGGTACTTTTAAAGTACGGTTCATAAACAGTGACCTAACTTGTCTCGTGACAAATATTTTTTGATGCAGTTTTTTGCATTAGGTTAAAAAAGGTCTGCTGATGATTTTAGCACCCTGACCAGATGGTTAACAAAAGCAAGAGATTTATAGGATGTTGGCAAAGGTGGTCAAAAATGGTAAATCCTTTGGCTTCCTGTAATTGGCTGCAGTTGCACTTAGTGTAACATTGTGACTGTTGGAATACACCGAAGTAAAATAAGTGTCTTGATAAAAATTACTGAACGGAAGAGTGCCCCTAATTTGCATTAAAATTTGAAATTGTATCTATAAACAAGTTTAAATAATTATATATGGATAAACTTGAAATAATACTTTTCAGGAACAATAAGGACGACAGTGTTCTTGATAACTTCCATCCAAGAAGACGGTATCCTTCCAACAGTTTGCGGAATAAGAGACAAACTGGACAACCCCTGTTGGTTCTGGCTGTACCTATTCGCCATGAGCAAACTGCCAGAACTAGGTGACACGTTCTTCATCGTGGTGAGGAAGTCCAAACTCCATTTCCTGCACTGGTACCACCACATCACCGTCTTTATCTACAGCTTCTACATTATCGCTCACCCTCAATCCGGTATGATATGGTATGCAGGGATGAACTTCGCTGTGCATGCTCTCATGTACACATACTACACACTGCGCGCAGCACGTGTCAACATTCCCAGAAAGTGTGCTATGTTTGTGACCATCTGCCAGCTTTCCCAGATGGTGGTGGGAGTCGGACTGCAGCTAACGTCATCCTACATGCTCTACCAAGGATACGACTGTGATACCAGCGTTCAGGATATTGTGTTTGGGATGTGTATTTATGCTAGCTATATGGTTCTGTTCGCTGATTTCTTTAACAAAACCTATTTAGTTGGAAAAAGTGAAAAGGTGAAGACACGATAAAAATTTGATTCAAGTTTCTTATAAATGCTTGCTGATTATATAAGGTCATAAAATAATTATCAAATCTTGGAATATTTTGGATTCTCTTAAAAATTCGTGTCGAGAAAGAATTGACAGCTTTTTTAATCAAAGCCATCTAATTTCAAATGAAATGTAAATTGTACAACTATCTACTAATACACTGAGGCACTGGCAAGGTGTACTTGCTTGCTAATTTAGCATTCTGTATTGAAATGTATCTTATCTGCTCAATTTATTTGATAAGCACGTACGTTCAGTGATTTTTGTTTAAGTGACTAAAAGCAAGAATCAAAGTTTGAGAAATTTCTGATTTGATTTACTGTAACGATCACCAAATTTACTTAGTTTTGCATACTTCTGTACTGCAGATTGGTACAGAACAGTATTAACACTTTAAAACAACTTTTGAACAAGATAAACTATAATTTAGTTATAAAATAAACTCATGCATGTTGTAAATATTATAAATGTAAATTGTAAAATTGTTTATCTGATCTAGAAAAACATATTTCTAGTAAAAATAATTTCTATTTCCTTATATCCAGAATTTGCCTCTACCATTTCGTTTTTTACTCTTTCCCGAACATTGTAAACGTAATTTATGATTCACCACTCAAACTTTGTACCAACAGTCTTTAAATTGACACAATTCATTAGTTTAAACTTTTCAGCGACAGCATATCATCATTGTCGGAGAAAAGTCGTGTTATTCATATGATCCATAGATAGATGTATATTCTTGAGATAAAAATACAAACCATAGATTTAAGAATTTTCAAAACTAACACCTATTGTATTCGTCCCTTTTAAAAGTTAAACTTGATGCAGCAACTTTACATCGTCTCCTAACTCTTCCTCTTCCTCACATAGGTTATCTTCCTTCTCTGGTGCATCATTTTGAGGTTCAGGAAGGGCAGTGCTAGGTTTTACTTTTACCTCATCAGGATTAACCTTATCCCCAGCTTCTGAACCCTCTAGTTCCTCCATCATATCCTCCACCTCATTTTCTTTCTGCTTCACGATTATAGTAAACTCGGGTGTCATGATGAAGTTTGTGTCCTCTTTTACCCTATACTTGGCAGGCAGGAAAGGTTCTCCGAGTAATTCCTTGTTGTATGCTTTCCATAGTTCCTCGTATTCTCTCTCTGTTTCAACCCTGACCATCTTCAACATCAATGTTCTAAAACCCTTGCTTGATTCCATCTGCTGTTGCCTCCGGGTGCTTGGAGCCGTAGACCCAGCTACGGCAGATAATAGAGTGGTGATGGCTCCCAAAGTAGCTGCTACGTAATGGGTGATAGGAAGAAGGGTTGAGAGGGTCGTCATCGCAGAAAGCACGATCAGAGACAGACTCATAATGTTATGGGTGCTGTCCCAATATTGTGCCACTTTGCCGTGCGAGTCAGCTTTGGCTTTTGTCATGCTGACGAATGAGGACCAGTTTTCAGAAATACCCATAACTGCTGTTTGTTTAAACTCAAACACAAACCTGGGCTGAACTGTGAAAATTAGCGATATAAAGCAAAGTGGAATAAAGTTAAATGCGTCTTACAAAAAATAATGCAAACAAAAGATTCGCAAGCAAAAGCGATGCTGGCTTCACGAAATGACAAATGTTTGAATTAAATATGAAGTGATGTTATGCACGTGTATGCTTATATAGGAATAGCCAGTAGTCTCAGAGTACAAACAAATTACAGATTTTGAACAAGATTTAGTTATCAACTGATGTAGTTTTCCCTTAGGAAATCTGAATTCAATAGGATACGTTGAAAATTAATATTATAATTTATAATATAAACACAATTTATCAGCGTTAACTTTTAATCGGTACCATCCTACAGATAAAAAACAACAAACAACTAAACCCATATACCATTCCTAAGATAAAACCACAAACCAAAGATTAAAATTTTGTTTGAAATTGTCTCGTCATTTAAAAAGTTAAACTTGATGCAGCAACTTTACATCATCTCCTACATCTTCCTCTTCCTCACATTGGTTATCTTCCTTCTCTGGTGCCTCCTTTTGAGGTTCAGGCAGGGCAGTGCTAGGTTTTACCTCATCAGGATCAACCTTATTTCCAGCTTCTGATCCCTCTAGCTCCTCCATCATATCCTCCACCTCATTTTCTTTCTGCTTCACGATTATAGTAAACTCGGGTGTCATGGTGAAGTTTGTGTCCTCTTTTACCCTATACTTGGCAGGCAGGAAAGGTTCTCCGAGTAATTCCTTGTTGTATTCTTTCCATAATTCCTCGTATTCTCTCTCTGTTTCAACCCTGACCATCTTCAACATCAGTGATCTAAAACCCTTGCTTGACTCCATCTGCTGTTGCCTCCGGGTGCTTGGAGCCATGGACCCAGCTACGGCAGATAATAAAGTGGTGATGGCTCCCAAAGTGGCTGAAACGTAATGGGTGATAGGAAGAAGGGTTGAGAGGGTCGTCATCGCAGAAAGCACGATCAGAGACAGACTCATAATGTTATGGGTGCTGTCCCAATATTGTGCCACTTTGCCGTGCGAGTCAGCTTTGGCTTTTGTCATGCTGACGAATGAGGACCAGTTTTCGGAAATGCCCATAACTGCTGGCTGTTGAAATAGGTCCTAGAGCTAAAGGGTGAAAATTAGTGATTATAATTGTCCACTAAGCAAAGTGGACAAATTTGAATTTATCATATAAAAAATCAAAATGTCTTCATGCAAAAGCGATTCCTGCTTAACGAAATAATAATGTTGTAATATAAGTTCAAATTATATGGAGATGGAGTAAGGTTATGTACATATTATGGGAAATGGGAATAACTAAAACTAATTGAGTAAAGGAGTAATAGCCTCAGAAATACATCCGGCAGAAACTGAAAATAAGCGCTAGTACTACTACTACTAGTACTACTAGTAGTAGTGTCTGTGTATTTGACCAAATTGCTGAAAGTGAAAGTGAGCGATATACGAATGTCGAAATATGTACATATTATATCTGTCAACTGAGTGTTGAGAGATGTAAGCCAGTGTCGGCCGGTCCAAACAGCTACCTACGCGACTTTCTGTCTGTTTCAAAGTTTCAAGTCTATCTTATAGTTATACTTATAATGTGTTGATTTTTGGAAATTTTTTGAAAAATTTGGTCCTTCAAATATTGTAATTTTGTTATAGGCATTTTACGAGCGTGCTAAATCACTTTACACTCGAACGTGGAGATTTTTATAACTATAAGACTTAAAGGCCTCCTCCCCCCAACAGTTGAAACCAACTTAAATCTATGCACTTTTGACCGCTGATTCCGAATCACCTCACATGACATAGGGTTAAAGTGCTCCCCTGACAAGATATCAGGAAAAACTGTCTCGATCACGTGATATGACCATATAAGGAAGTTGGTCTACTTTCTTGTTAGGGTTAGGGTTTCAGCATATTCTTCAGTTAGGGATTGGGTTAGGGTTACTGTTAGGGTTGGGGTCAGTGTAGAGGGTTAGGGTTTCGAATAGTCCGTGATCAGGGCTACCCAGAGAACGTATTAAAAGGTCACGTGACATTCGAGTGTAGAGTGATTAATCATCATCCGGCATTTTACGCGAGAAATTATCCATTTTTCGTCAATTTTACACACTTGCTATGCATATGTATGACGTGGGGAGGCCCACATACAGCTCGACCTTATCGTGCTGCACGGTGAATTTGTATTATCTACACTTATAGAGGCACCTTTTTGTACCAAATTTATCAAAATCGGAGAAAAAGATTCTCTGCCAGCCTCACATGTTCCCTTTTGTGTGATTAAATTCTTGCACCTTAGTCACGTGCCTGATAATGAGTCATAGCTGGGATATCCGTGTTCAGATCCATATATTTTGTCCTGCTATTACATATTCACCATACTCATAATATTGGCAGTGAGTTGGCTTATTGTCACTCTAGTGACTTCGTACATATATAATTATGGGAGAATGGTCTACAAATTAATATTTGATCGCTGATATAACTTTTTTAATTGTATGTTTGATTTCAGCATGTAGATTGGTACAGAACAGTTAACACTTTGAAACAACTTTTGAACAAGATAAACTATAATTTAGTTTATATAAGATAAACTCATGCATGTTGTAAATATTATAGATGTAAAATGTAAATTGTAAATTTTTTTATCTGATCTAGAAAAAAATATTCCTAATAAAAATAATTTCTATTTCCTTATATCGAGAATTTGCCTCTACCATTTCGTTTTTTTACTCTTTCCCGAACATTGTAAATGTAATTTATGATTCACCACTCAAACTTTGTACCAAGAGTCTTTAAATTGACACAATTCATTAGTTTAAACTTTTCAGCGACAGCATATCATCCATGTCGGAGAAAAGTCGTGTTATTTATATGATCCATAGATCGATGTATATTCTTGAGATAAAAATACAAACCATAGATTTAAGAATTTTCAAAACTAACACCTATTGTATTCGTCCCTTTTAAAAGTTAAACTTGATGCAGCAACTTTACATCGTCTCCTAAATCTTCCTCTTCCTCACATTGGTTATCTTCCTCCTCTGGTGCCTCATTTTGAGGTTCAGACAGGGCAGTGCTAGGTTTTACCTCATCAGAATTAACCTTATCCCCAGCTTCTGAACCCTCTAGCTCCTCCATCATATCCTCCACGTCATTTTCTTTCTGCTTCACGATTATAGTAAACTCGGGTGTCATGGTGAAGTTTGTGTCTTCTTTTACCCTATACTTGGCAGGCAGGAAAGGTTCTCCGAGTAATTCCTTGTTGTATGCTTTCCATAGTTCCTCGTATTCTCTCTCTGTTTCAACCCTGACCATCTTCAACATCAGTGATCTAAACCCCTTGCTTGACTCCATCTGCTGTTGCCTCCGGGTGCTTGGAGCCATGGACCCAGCTACGGCAGATAATAAAGTGGTGATGGCTCCCAAAGTGGCTGGTACGTAATGGGTGATAGGAAGAAGGGTTGAGAGGGTCGTCATCGCAGAAAGCACGATCAGAGACAGACTCATAATGTTGTGCATTCTGTCCCAATATTGTGCCACTTTGCCGTGCGAGTCAGCTTTGGCTTTTGTCATGCTGACGAATGAGGACCAGTTTTCGGAAATGCCCATAACTGTTGGCTGTTGAAATAGGTCCTAGAGCGAAAGGGTGAAAATTAGTGATAAGCAAAGTGGAAAAATTTGAATTTATCCTATAAAAAATCAAAATGTTTTCATGCAAAAGCGATGCGGGCTTAACTAAATGATAATGTTGTAATATAAGTTCAAATTATATGGAGATGGAGTAAGGTTATGTACATATTATGGGAAATGGGAATAGCTAAAACTAATTGAGTAATAGCCTCAGAAATACATCCGCGGCAGAAACTGAAAATAAGCGCTAGTGACAGTGTATTCGACCTAATTGCTGAAAGTGAGCGGTATATAAATGTCGAAATATGCATTATATCTGTCAACACAGTCTTGAGAGATATAAGCCAAACAGCTTTACGTACATGACCTTCTATCTGTTTCAAGTCTATCCTAATGGTTATTAGCTGTGACTGAAATGCTGCAAATTTGGTGGCAAACTAAATGTTAATTATAGGATTCGAGGGTGACTACTAAAACATGTATCCTCCTTATTAAA